TATTGTGGGTGATATTTTAGAGCAACTAGAAGTTGATAATGTTATTGATGAACTGGCTGATAAAAGTAGTACTTTGTAAGAAATGCTTATTATATAATTATTTATTGCTAAATTTAAAATTAAATTTTATGTATTTTACTTTTTAAATTAAAGAGTTATTTATAAAAATTATTGTTTATAATAAATCATTAAGGGGGGTTTTGGTCCTGGCCTTGAAAAATTTGGACTTTTTTTTTATTGTTTTATTTGATTGTTTATACTTTCAAGAGTATTCTGTTAAAATTTCAGCTCAATCAGAGCAAAATTGACGATAATATTGAACTTTTAGTTCGATGACTATTATGTATCTAATATATAATGCTGTATCTTTGAACTGCGATTTCTCAAAATGACATTTTTCTCATTTTGAGAATGAATTTTGCACAGTTCTTCATTAATCCTTTGAGCAGGTATTGACGTCGAGATATTTCGATTTTTCCTAAAATTTTTTTGCTTATAACAAATTTTCCGAAAAAAATGGTCGATTTTTCATGCCAGGACGCAATTTTAACGTTTTTTTCAACTTCAAAATTACGTCAAAATTTGAAAAATCACTATAAATAAAAAAACTCTACGTCAGTACCTGATAAAACTTATAAACTAATGAGGTAATTTTGCATTTTACGATTCAAATGATTCTGTAAAAAGTTATGTGTCTCACCAGATTTTTCATGACTTTTCCGTAACATTTGCTTTCCAAGGCCCAAAAATGAAAATTTTTTTATGAAATTTTCACAAAGTACTCTCGAAGTCATGTACATTCACATATATATGGGTCAAAATAATACTTTTTTACAAAACCGTGCGCACGTATATCACCGATCTTGACGCGCTTTTGGTATGTTATAGTACATGGTAAAAAGGTCCCAAAAAAAAATTTTTAGACCCCCTCCCCCCTCCTACCCCCCACTTCCGGTATAAACGTCCATTTTCGATCTATATTTTTTCTGAGGACATGAAGCAAGTAAAAAATCTGAAAAAATTCATAAAAATACTTTTCCACAATCCAAACAACCTTGAATTTTTTCAGATTTTTTGAGTGCTTCAGGCCTTCAGATAAAATCATTGAAAATTTCAAAAATCGAGATACGGCGGTATGAGCCGATGTAGTACTCGGAAATTTTTTCAGTTATTTTTCGCATTAAAAAACATAACCTCAATTTTTTTCAGATTTTTTCAGATTACCTAACGCACCTTTTGAAGCCAAAAACCGATTTTTTTGACGAAAATAATTTTTTTAGGACAGTACGGAGCCTCGAAAAATCTGAAAAAAATTTTTTCTTGTTTTTTTCATCAAAATACGTAATCTCAAATTTTTTCAGATTTTTTAATTGAAGGCGATAGCTTCTAGGGCCGAAAAATGCTATTTTTAACAAAAAATGGTTCCTAGAACCCGATGGTTCCGGTGAAAAAATTTGAAAATATTTTTTTTGAATTCCTTGTCAAATTTTAATAAATTTTGACCGTTTCAAAAGTTCGATTGAAGCTTCCTAGCTCATTTTAGAGCAGGACAAAGATTAGTGCAAAATATCTGAAGACGTTTCTGAAGACATTAAGGAATGATAAAACTCGTTTGATGCTCTAAAATGAGCTAGGAAGCTTCAATCGAACTTTTGAAACGGTCAAAATTTATTAAAATTTGACAAGGAATTCAAAAAAAATATTTTCAAATTTTTTCACCGGAACCATCGGGTTCTAGGAACCATTTTTTGTTAAAAATAGCATTTTTCGGCCCTAGAAGCTATCGCCTTCAATTAAAAAATCTGAAAAAATTTGAGATTACGTATTTTGATGAAAAAAACAAGAAAAAATTTTTTTCAGATTTTTCGAGGCTCCGTACTGTCCTAAAAAAATTATTTTCGTCAAAAAAATCGGTTTTTGGCTTCAAAAGGTGCGTTAGGTAATCTGAAAAAATCTGAAAAAAATTGAGGTTATGTTTTTTAATGCGAAAAATAACTGAAAAAATTTCCGAGTACTACATCGGCTCATACCGCCGTATCTCGATTTTTGAAATTTTCAATGATTTTATCTGAAGGCCTGAAGCACTCAAAAAATCTGAAAAAATTCAAGGTTGTTTGGATTGTGGAAAAGTATTTTTATGAATTTTTTCAGATTTTTTACTTGCTTCATGTCCTCAGAAAAAATATAGATCGAAAATGGACGTTTATACCGGAAGTGGGGGGTAGGAGGGGGGAGGGGGTCTAAAAATTTTTTTTTGGGACCTTTTTACCATGTACTATAACATACCAAAAGCGCGTCAAGATCGGTGATATGCGTGCGCACGGTTTTGTAAAAAAGTATTATTTTGACCCATATATTTTACCCAGAGGGCTTGGAGTATGACGGACTGACCATAAGGAATTTGGGAGAAATCCCGGTAGGCCTCTCACGACCAGGGCTGACTTGAGGAATTTAACTGGGCAGCGCCTTATAAGACTCCCGAATGGAAAACAAATCCCAGTCCGCCCCGGGATACATGGGTAAAAAAATACCTCATAGTATGTTAAAATACCATACATACAGAGCTTTAGTCATCCGCGTCTAGCTACGAATTCATACGCAACTTCAAACACGTTTTTCTCGAAAACACGAAAAATAGAGTTGGTCGGTTCTCCCTAACTTGCTAAATCTCGCGAACATATTAATAAATAATTCAGAGCAATCAATTAATCAATTCATTCATAATTGATTTTCGATGTCCGAGATTCTATAAATCCACAGGTAAACCTGGAGTTAATAGTATCAACATCCAAGAAAAACACGAGTTTGGGTTCAAAATCATTTTGCTACAATTCGAGGCGCTTGGAATTATAAGCCTGAGTTGTGCCCTGTTATCAGATGTAAAATGAAGTAGAAGAGACTCACAAAACTACTAAACTTACTTAGATGACAGCCTGGGAACCCCGCGTGACTTTTTCTTTTGATACAGTCTTGTGTCGATTTTTTTTATCGATGTTGTAACAGCTGCGCTGTTTAGATAATGGCGACTCTCCGCTTATAAATCCTCATAAACTCTTGAATTGTAACGATCGTTCGATACGCGTACGATGGCAGAACGTGCTAAATTGTATTTTTCTCGGTCTTTTGGCTAATTTCAAAGTTGGTTTTTTTATTTCTTGTCAAACCGAAGCAGTATATATAATGTCTACGTCCACATCGCTTTGAAAGCTACGGTTCTCGTCCGATCACCGAATATAAACAAAGTTGAGCGCGGTTAGTACTTGGATGGGTCACCGCCTGGGAACCCCGTGTAACGTAGTTACACCCATTACTTTTTCTTTTGATACAGTTTTGTGTCGGTTTTTTTTCGCATTCTTCTCGGTCTTTTGGCTAATTTCAAAGTGTACTGAATGAATACTGGATGAATATTTTGATTTACTTATTTTGTTTTACATATCTACAGATTTTTATCTTACTTCCTTGCGCTTTCATATAAGAATTATTAGTTTTCTCTTTTTGTTTTAGATGTCGCGAAGCAGCAGTGTAGGTAGCAATATCGTAGGCACCGTTTAATGGAGAAACTATTTATATATATTTTTTGCACTCATTAAGTCCTTTTACGTTTTATTCATTTTTGAACGAAAATTATTAATCAACCTGATCTTGTTTACTATATTGTATTTTCCACTATTGCTGTCATTAAATATCTAATATCGATTTGCGGTTATTGCCACGTGAGCATTTTATGGTAGATTCATTTATGGTGAACATTCAGATAAATTAACCAACTGTTACTTATAATCGAATGATTATTTTTTTGTCAACTAGTTTAATATTTTCTCACTAGAATTATCAGGCTGGAAAATCAGAGGAGAAATTATCTTACATAAAACATATTATAGAGGAGTTTTTTATGTGCATTATTGAACGAGGGAGAATGATTTCGCCGCCGGTTTTCAAGAGGAAAAACCGCGCTGCTATGTGTGATTATCTTTGCAGGCACAGTCCATACGTAAATAAAGTTGTACATTTTTTCGAATATATCATTTTTTATTTTATCAAAAGTTTTACGTGAATGTCAAATATAAATCTTGCATGCTGCTGCATAATGATTTCAACCGTGAACTAATCCTGGACGGACAACATGTGGAGGGTGCACAACGTGAATTGGGCGAACGTGCACTGGACGAACTGGTTGGACAACATGAACTGGGCGGACTGGGTGGACCACGTGCACCGGGCGCACTGGTTGAACATGAACTGGGCGAACTGGATGGACTACGTGAACTGGACGTACGTGGACTGGACGAACTCCGTGCAGGCGGTTTCTGTTCTCAACGTCATCTTCAGCTACGTTTCAATGAATAAATTGTTATTTTATGAAAACAACTAACGGTCGCAAAAATTTGCTCGTAACGATTTTTTTACTTACCAAATGCACAGCTGATAGTTGCAACGAGAACGAGGAAAAATATGGCTTTCATTTTAATGATTTTAATTGTATCGCAATATGTCTGATGATTTCAAACTGTACTAAACATTTTTGCGAGAGGCTTTTTATACAAAAAAGCCTTATCGAAAGACAAATAAATATCAATACAATTTGTATAAAAAATTTTACAGTCGAATCTGCTGCAATTCAAATATGTGCCCTCATTGATGACACATGCAAATATTGATTTGGGAATTTTCACTTTCACTCGCTTATAATGAATCAATTGTTTAATTGCACGGCTATTTGCAATAACAAAATAATTTATTAAAACGAAGAAACTCTCGAGCATTATCTCTTTCTTTAATTAAACTTAATTACTTTTGGGCAATTCTAATCAAGTGTGACATTAGCCAATTTCATTATGATCATTATAAATTAATTACAAGAAAGTATTCTGCTGAATTTTTTATGATTTCTGAAGGTCAAAACGACACTTTTGCAGACTTTTTCTTTTTCCCGCTAATTTTTTTATGCATAGCAGACATGCGTATAGTGTATTGCTATACCGTTCAACAGTCAAATCAAACAATATCATCAATTTAGAGAAATATTGCATCAACCATGCGGGACATTTGACTGCCTCTTCGAGACTTATTTTATTATAAAAAACGATGACCACTGAGATAACACAAATTTCTAAGTTATTCATTGAATTAAAGAAGAAAAAAGCAAATTACAAGCTCCATGGCGACCCGTATGTTATTGCAGCTTGGAGTTGCCTCTAATAAATGGTATGTCGAGGTTATGCGGCATGAAATATATATTTATGATCCATCAAAATAATGAACGCAATGTCAATGTTTTTCTTCTTTTTGCAGCGTCTTTTCGTCTTCTTTACAGAAGTCTAAATTGCAATTACAGAATGTCATTAAACATAATTTTAGAAAAGTTCGTGACAACAATGACCTGGTCCAAACTCAATCGTTTCTTGGATCAGGGTCTACAGAAATGCTATGGTCTGGTCCGTCTGCTGGAAATAAACTTTTAAGAGCTTTCGTTTTTGCCTCTGGTGTGAGTTTGAAATCAATTGTTAAATTACATATATTTGACATTTATTAACTCATAGTTATCAATAACATAATTTACAATTAGCTGAAATACTATTAAATTATGGAAAGAAAATTTCTTCCATTATCAATGGTTAATTTTTCAAAAAATTATTCTCAAGATTTGCTTAACATTTTTTAACGTTCAAAAAAATTTCAGTTTACTGGAGCATCATTTGTAGGAGCAACTATTTGGGAGTATGAAAGAATCAGAGATCGTACTTATAAAACTCTCAATCCATTTGGTTACAGATTTAGATCATCGGTTAGTAGTAATATATAATGGTCATGATAATTAATTGAATTAAAATAATAACAAGAGTTTTTTTTAGGTAACTGGATGGAGGTCGAATGCAAAAGAGTGGTGGATGAATTTAACCGAAGGCCAAAGAATGTTCTGGTTTATTTGTTATGCTAATGCGCTTGTATTTGTTGCATGGAAGATACCAAGCATACGCCCAACAATGCTAAAATATTTTGCTACTAATCCGGTATCCAGTATGTAATTAATCTTTAAATTTAACTCAAACACACAAAATTGCTAATTTAAAAATATTACTTTAGATGTCACTTGCCTCCCCATGGTGTTATCTATGTTTTCACACTTCAATCTTTGGCATCTAGCTGCTAACATGTATGTTCTTCACAGTTTTAGTACTGCTGCGGTAGGGTATTTAGGAAAAGAACAATTCTTGGCAGTTTATCTGTCTAGTGGAGTAATGTCTAGTTTTGTTAGCAATGCTTATAAAATTCTTTTGAATCGACATGGTTTTTCTTTAGGAGCAGTAAGTTAAATATTATATTTTTAATTATTTGTATACATAGGGTACACAATTTTAACTATTGATTTTATTCTTAGTCAGGAGCAATCATGGGGATTTTGGCTTTCATTTGTACCCAATTTCCTGATACTAAACTCAGTATTATTATGCTGCCACAATTCACATTCAGTGCAGGATCTGTAAGTATATTGTATATTTGGTTTGGTCAAGATAAAATTGTTGAATAAAAGTCAAGATAAAGTTGTTGAACTAAAGTTGATACATTTTAATAACTTATAGGCTATAAAAGCTATAATGGCTTTTGATACTGCTGGATGTGTGATGGGATGGCAATTTTTTGATCATGCTGCTCATTTAGGTGGTGCCTTATTTGGAATGTAAGTATAATTGACATAAATATCTTGAATCAACATTTGACATCACTTGAAAAGATAAAATTTTTCATAAACAGAATTTAAATTTACAAACAAATTTAGTTAGTCATTCAAATAAGTGTAGCATTATTTGACATGAAATTACTCATTTTTCCTTTCAGAATCTGGCAGTTTTGGGGATTAGAGCACGTTTGGCGAAAACGTGGGCCACTTTTACAATATTGGCATGAAATTAGAAATCCACCAAAATAATTAAAACTTGTTAATAGATTTTGTAAAAACTTTTGCAAAATATTATTTATTTTTATCAAATTATTTACTACTACAAGAGTATAACTTATTGTAAAAATTGTCTTAAAATATTGTATATCAAATTTAATTTTTATAATAAATGTACATAATTATGCTATGTTCAAAAGTTGAACATTCATAATTTGAATTATATTCTAAATTTTTCAATGAAACATGGCATTGTACATTGTAAATATGAATCTCAAGTTATAATCCAATGCTGTTACAAATGTATCAAATTATTTTCATTAACTTTTAAGATATTTAACGTGATGTTTGATGTGATCTTCAATGAATGATGCAATAAAAAAGTAAGAGTGATCATATCCCTCTTGCATTCTAACAACAACATGCAATGCTTCTGCATCCTTAACAGCTGTTATAAGACTTTCTGGTTGCAATTCAACCATAAACGAGTCATCTTTACCCTGAAAAAATGGTAGTATATTGAATTTATTAAAATTAACAATTTATATTTTTACCAATTATTTACCTGGTCTATTAAAATATCAAGTGGTGGACCATTATATACTTTTGATAATTCTGTAGCATCCCATACTTTCCAATGGTTGTTTTCTTCACCTTCTTTTCCACCTAAATATCCAGCAAAAGCTTTTTGACCCCAAACACTTCTTACTGGATTACAAATAGGAGCAAATGCAGATACTGACTTGTATTGGCCTTGACATTTCAAAGCACATATCAAAGCTCCATGACCGCCCATGCTAAAACAAAGTAATATCTTTGTGCCAAATTTTCTTATAATTAAATAAAAATTTTGTTTTGTTCTAAGCAAATTTACCTATGGCCCATTATTGATTGCTTATCTTTAATAGTAGGAAATTTGTTATTTATCAAAGAAGGCAATTCACTAGTAATGTAACTGAACATTTTATAATGCTTTTTCCAAGGTTCTTGATTAGCATCTACGTAAAAGCCTGCTCCTGATCCAAAATCCCAAGAATCATCTTCTCCAGGAATATTTACTCCTCTGGGACTAGTATCAGGAGCTACAATTATAATTCCATGTTCAGCAGCATATTTTTGAGCTCCAGCTTTTTGTATAAAGTTTGCTTCTGTACAAGTCAACCCTGAAAGCCAATAAATTACTGGTACAGGGCCATTTTCAGCTTGTGGAGGTAAGTAAACTCCAAAATTCATTCGACATTGCAGTTCTGTACTGTAATGAAAAAAGAGGAAAACTAATATTATTTTTGGTTTACTAATAATCACAAATTTTTGATGCGTAAATGAAAATATTACCTCTCATGTGAATAAATTTTCTGCCATCCTCCAAAGGACTTATTACTCGATACTAACGTTATCTCCGACATTTTGCTTTATGCAAAAAATTACTAAATAAATAATCAACGAATGTTAAATAAAGAGAAAGTAAATAAAATATTTTTTGAGGTTACAGGAGAAGTATACAGTATGATAGCGGTTTAACAATAATTCAAATAAATTCAAGAGAATATCCTAAAAAGTCAAGTTAATTATTTATCTTTGATATAAAAAAAAACACACACTATGTACAAATCCTCGATAAAGATGACACAGGTGTAGTTTCGTGTTCAAATACGGGCATCGACTGCGAATAGCTTTGACAAAATTATACATATAGGTTCATTCAAGCACATAAAAACGCAGCGTATAAGAGTACACAGTGCAGAATCAAATCTTGTTGTGTACTTACGTACTTACTTGCGCAAATTCTTATCAAATCGTAGGGGATTTTTCTCGATAAACGCTTATCTACTTTTCATGTCTTTACCGAATATTAAGGAAGCGTATGATATACTTTCAATTCACATAGAAGCTACTCGCTAAAAAAAGAACATATTACTTGATATTTATTCTACCAATTAGAGACGCAAGAATATTCATTAACTAATGAATTAAGATGGATATAAGTAATTGTCAAGTAATGGATATAATAATATGGATATAAGTAATTGCACTGATTGGCGATGATATTAAGTAAAACCAAACATTTTACACTGTCTCATTTTTTACATAAAAATAAGACATGTGAGAAATTTGACATGTAAAAATTATAAAACCTTTTGAAGTTGAATATGAAATCGGGTACTATCATTTGTTCAGTTCGAGTATTTGTTCAAACATAATATTTAATAGATCACAAAAACCACATTATTAATAAACAGTGCATAATTCTAGGATGTAATTTTAAAGTACAATTGTACCAACTCACTTTTAGGTGACACATCAATACTCGCAAGTATATTTAGTGACTATATAATACACTCGGCAACAAAATTATCGCAACAAAAAAATTCATCGAAATTTTGTCGATTTTCAAATGCTTCTATCTTGGGCTAGATTTATCGTATCGACACGCTTTTTTTTTTAATTTCTTGGAAATTTTGTCCTCTTTAAATCCATATAAATTAAGATAAGATTTGAGTTAATGTTGAGTTACCAGTAGTATTTGAGCGTGACCCTAAAAATTACTGAAAAAAAATGACTGTTTGAACGTGTACCAGTACCACAGTGATTTTTTTATCGAAATCTAACATACACCATCGCAAAGTGCTCTTTTTAACGAGTAATTTAAAAAAAAAAAGACCTCTCTACGATTTTTTTAACGCCCTGTAGGTCGATTTGAAGATACCATTTAAAGTACGTAAAATCCCCCGTTTACCTGAAATCAAGACGATTTTCTGGGCATTTTGCGTACATAAACCGTACCTTCAAATCGACCTACAGGGCGTTAAAAAAATCGTAGAGAGGTCTTTTTTTTTTTAAATTACTCGTTAAAAAGAGCACTTTGCGATGGTGTATGTTAGATTTCGATAAAAAAATCACTGTGGTACTGGTACACGTTCAAACAGTCATTTTTTTTCAGTAATTTTTAGGGTCACGCTCAAATACTACTGGTAACTCAACATTAACTCAAATCTTATCTTAATTTATATGGATTTAAAGAGGACAAAATTTCCAAGAAATTAAAAAAAAAAGCGTGTCGATACGATAAATCTAGCCCAAGATAGAAGCATTTGAAAATCGACAAAATTTCGATGAATTTTTTTGTTGCGATAATTTTGTTGCCGAGTGTATATATAGGAAGCTAAATTTTCTATAGCGTACTTATGTGTACTTTCAAATTAATTTATTAACTTTCAAATATGAAACTAAAAGATGTACCCCTGAAATTGAGGTTGTTCTATATTACTTTTTACCTTAGTCGCCAATAACGATTCAAAATTCTTATTTTTCATCTATTTAATGACAATAATTATAATGATATACAAATAATATCCATTGATGACAATCAAAATGAAGCTTCGATCGACATTAGTAAGAATTCAATCATTGTAATGGCTCAATTCAAATTTGAGTATGGGATAAAATTTACTTTTTGTTCGTATTAAGATGAAGAGCGCATTGATACGAAGTACCGATTTTTGTTTTGTTCATTTCATTTTTGAAATTTCATGCTTGATTGACGTATCTTGATTAATAATAGATAGTTATTGTATAAAAGTGTAAGGAAACCCGTAGTTAAATTTTCTTTAAATATTTTTTCATTGTGATGAAATTTGCGAATGTTCATTTGAAAAAGTCCCGCTGTTGAATTAATGGTCGATAAAATAGGAAACAGATAGTTTATCATTTGGCCACCAATAATTATATTCTGGATGTACACAAATTTAAAAGTAGTAACTAACTATTAGAAATATTATAATCACAATACTATATTTTTCATAAATAAATCGTTTTATCGGTAGAAGTTGACTATATATCTCGAGAGATGGCGCTCTGCATTCAAAAAGTCGAGCGATTGAAATTGTTGCGAAAAATGAAGTTCACGTTAAAAGCTTCATAGTCCAATGAAATATCGTTATTGATTTGGCAATTTCGGAGCAACGATGTAAAATTTTTCAATCATCACGGAGCTAGCTGTAAATAATTATTTAAGGTGGCAACGATTAATAGTGCGCTCTATATGAAACGATTGAAATAGTTGATAAGCGAATAAGTACGATTGAAAAAATAATTAAAGGATCGTTTGCCGTTCACACTGGCGAGGGGGCCATGAGATATTGGTAAAAAGTCAGTGGCAATTGTTGTAGCTGAAGTAATAATACGTAAGTCGGAGACGGCGTTTGCCTTTGGCCCTCTGGGCCTGCGCCCCTCCTCGCGCTCGCGTGGCCCGTTAAAGGAGAGCGCCCGTATCAGCTGCAAGAACGAGCGAAGCTGCTGCCGCTGTGCCGCTGCCGGCGCACTCGAGACTCGACTTTGTCGAGAGAGCCGCGCCGCGTAACGGTACGAAAGGGGCGTTTTGCGGAACGGAGTCGTTCGCATATATATACTCTCATATATAGACGATCGTCTGCATTTGCTGCCGTTCTATATATTTCAATGTATACGTCGAGCGCAGAGCGCCGCGCGTTATATAGTCGAAAAAGCAAAGAGAGCCTATTTTCGTGAGCTCGAACGCCCCTGATGCTGCCAGTCTCAGCCAGCCATCCGGAGAGGATCCGAGAGGACCGTGTTTATTTCGGGCCATCGCGCTTGGCTCTTTCTCTCTCTCGCTCCCGACTCCCGCTTGCAAATTACTTGGCTGCGCCGATCTATATAACGCGCAAATGCGAGCTACACATTTTAAATATATACTCACACGCGCGCACACACTCACACGTACATACATATCACGTGTCAGGGTTGATTTAGCAGTTAGCTCGGATCGATTAAATTCATATTGTACGAACGTTTCGAAGTCGATCGAACGAGCGAGTTCGGCAATTTTCGTCATTCCGAACGTAATGATCAAGATAATTCGCCAAGTCGTTCACTCTCCTTATCATTCAATCGGTAATATTTTTTTTATGCACGAACATTTCGTACACGCGTGTCATAATTAAATGTACACTGACACATTCAGCGAGGGAAAGAGAGAGAGAGAAACAATCGGCGCGAGAGCGAAAAGTAAGTGTGCCAATGTACTTTGCGGCATAATTCAATTTTATTCGGGAATCGTCTTATCGCCCCGGCAGTATAAAGTCTAATTGAAAATTACTTGTGCTCGGCGTCGCGAGGCGATAAAAAAATCGATTAGTCAGAAAAAATAATGGACAACAATCGAGATCGGTGCAGCATTGGCAGCGACAGCGACTCGGAGAAAATATTACACTTTCGGAGAAAAGAATCGGTTGGAAAGGGAGAAGGACAAGACGCGCGACTCGTAGGCTCACGCATACAAAAGACACACTCGCACGCACATATAGGCGTAGGATATAAAAACGAGCGCTCGAGATGATACGGCAAGTGGTGCTGATTTGCGTAATCGCTCGGCAGCTTACGCATGTGTGAGTACTCGCTGCGACGAGCGCACATACACAAGCACGCGTACCGAGAGGCAGAAGGAAATTCCAGTCGCGGAGAACAGAATGGGGTCGACGGGTACATTACCCGACGAGGCACTGCGTATACATGTACGCGTGTGCGTGTACGCCTATACATGTATACATGCCTGGTTTGCCTTACCAGCTCCGCCTGTACTTGTATCGTGCACACGCCAGCATGGAAGTATTATCTATAATCCTCGTTTGTATATGAATATCACGAGGAGCGTCTATGCGCCCAAGTATACGTGGCTACCTCCAATCGTAACCCGACGGGGACATTTCAAAAATTGGAATGTCTCCCGTTTCCTTCTCCCTCGTGGCGCGTCTTTTTTTACATACGTACCCGATATTCTCTTTTCATTTTTCAAATTGAGCCTTGATACGAGAAGCGTCTTCATTAGTGAAAGTTGCGCATTAAAGTTCGTCGACACCTCTCGTTACAGATTGCAAAGGAGAGAATTCGCGGTGAAAAGGCGCACAGGAGAATTTTTCTGGCGGCCCCGCAGCCACCGGCAGCGCCGGGGACGAATTGATAAAAGAAAAAAATCCGAGTCTCCGGAGCTGCTGCTGCTGCTGCAATGCGAGCGCGATAACAGCCGTCCTTTTCGTCGACGCACAAAACGCACGAGTCGAATTAGCTTTGGCGCGCTTTGCGGCTCGGAAAACGCGCGAGGCGGTAGGAATTCTAGTTCCGCCCCTGGGGCAATGCCTCGTGCGTTATATATATTTATACGTGTGGATGTGTGTAGTTGGTCGCGTCTATATACATGTTACGTAAGTTGAACGTATATAGCTGGCTGTGCGGCGCGCGCTTTAGTTCGGCGTTGTCGTTGCTCGGGTGGCGCAGCCAGCCATCATCGTCGGCTTCATCGTCAACAGCAGGAGACCGTACTCACACACACACACACACACACACATGCGCACACATGCACCGCACACATAAGCCGAGATAAGCCTCCTCTCGCGCGCATATAGCTGCAGCGCGTAAAATAGAAAGAGAGGAGGCAAGAAACGGAATGTTTTCGACTCGCATATACGCGCGGCAGAGAGTGCAAGGCGAGCTTCACCCTTGCAGCTCCGAGCGCTCGTAAAATTTCGCGCTTTATCGTCTCGTGCAGCCAGTGGCGTATAATGCCAGAGCCGCATATGCACACTGACGCATACAATAATGCACATGTGTGTGTGTGTGCGCGCGCTTGTGTTGATGACGATCGTCGTGATGCTGACGCCACCGCCGCCGCTATGATTTTGCAAGTTTATAATACACTCAGAGGGAAAGTTGAGCTCTCCTTATGCTCTGCTC